CAGGACCTCGTCCCTGACCTGGAGAAGCCATTCTACCCATTTCCAACTCAAGACCGTGGTCTCGGATTTAAAGGAGCTGATTCTCATCCAAGCTGCTTCACACTTGGCTGTGAATCGCTCCAGCAAAAGCTGGAGATCACCGTCTGATGGAGCCAACAGGACCACATAATCTGCAAAAGGCAGCGACTCAATCCATAGGCGGCCAAAACAGATCACCTCAACACCTAGCCTGGCCTGCCAGACTCCTCCTCTGTTAAATTCTGCACAGAGAAAGGGTCTGAAACTCTCCTATTTAAATATCTCCACCCCGTGAGAATTCTAACCGAGCCAATCAGCGTTGAGTAGTGTACGTCACACACCAAAACGCTGAGTTTGTCATAAAAAAAATTCTGAATATGAAGGGAAGAGGTTCTTCAAATTATACCATCAGCAGCTGATGTTCCCCTTGGCCCGTAAATGTTTATGAAATATATATTAACATAGAGCAAATACCAAATTTGAAAATAGGTTTGTCTAATTTTTCATATTAAATCTCAGTTACATAGCCTTTAGGCCACATAGGCTATTTAATAATGATATAAATCGTGTCCATAGTTAACTCATATTAATCACAAACAGCCGCTTATTTAAAAATAAAATGTCTTACTTTACCTTGACGGTGTTTTTGTCCATCCTTTTTTGTGATATTTAAGTATTTGGTTGTCAAATATGATTCATTTGTTTATTTCTGTTTCAAAACAGCACAGATGGGCCTATCTGACCTCACAGAGGAAACTTTATTTTACTAGAGAAAGATGTTTTAAGATGAACTTATTAAAACAAAAAATCTTAAAACTCTTCAAAGTCTATTTTTTACAAACACTGAATAACTAACACTCCTGGAGAGGGTATGATCTACACAGAGGCTTCTGGGGAGCCCAGTTATGGGGTGGTGGGTGGTGGTGGTGTGTGTGTGTGTGTGGGGGGGGGGGGGCATTTTGCCTTGGCCCCCAAAATGTCATGAAACGGCCCTGGGTGTGTGACTGAGTTTTGAAGGTGATCTGAATTGTTTCAGATGTATAAATATTACATGTGTGTAACTTATTGCTTTATACAGGTAAAAACATGTAGTGGAGATAACCTACATTTTACTTTTCAACACTTTGTTTTGTTTTCTTGTTTTTATTTAACTATTTTCCTGTCCTGTCTGTCTCTCATCTTCCTGCATCTCCTCTAAACTCTCCAGAAAAACTGCTGCCTGGATTCTTACTTTTTCACCTCATCAGTTACTTCTGAGCAGATCAAAGGGATCTCCTGACCACAAAGCGGAGAGGCGTTTCGATGCTGCGTCAGTGAGGTGAAATCACTGCAGCACAGGTGATGAGCTCCACAGTGGCAGAGCGCTTCAGGCACAAATAAGACAGAAAGTAGAGAACATGTGCGGACATCAACGATCGTGTGCTAATTATAGTTTTTTGGTTGCGCCACTTTCAGAATGGACCGTGCGCTGGACGCAGCAGCCTGGAGCTCTGCGCAACAACGATCAGCGCTGTGCCGCTGTCTGTGCTCTCTGCTCAAAAGAGTCCATAAATGATGTAATATAGGTAGAAAAGGTTTTTTTACCGGCTCCCCTGGATGTGTAGGATATCCAGCTCCCCATAATTCGATCCCTGCTCCTGGATGAAAAGCCGGACATTTTCATCAATACAAGAACCCGCAGTCCGGATGCCCAGGACAGAGAGTGAAAAGTGGACACGGTCCATCTCCTTTCCTTTTTGTATTGTTTTATTGTTTAACTTGCTTTGCCTATCTACTAATTGAAAAATGTCTTCATATATATATTATTTTTTCATAAGCTTGCGTTTGGTGCCCCTCCCCCAACGTGGTGCCCTACGCGCTATGCGTGGTGTGCGTGTGCGGAGCGCTGGTGCTGGCTAGCAAGATGGTTAAGGTTAGGATAGGGGTGAGGGGAAGGTTAAATAACAAGAGGATAAGGTTCAGGTGCGGCACAATGAGCTTGTTTGGTGAAAGAAAAGGGAAAAACCCCTTTTCGTACTTCAGTGACGAAAAAGGGCACTTTTGGTATCAATGAGCTAGAGGTGATGAGAAAATGTTGGTCTTATTTAAAATTGCACGCATTTAGTTGTATTCAGTGTTTACAAAAATAATAATTATATATATATATATATATATATATATATATATATATATATATATATATATATATATATATCCAAATGAAAGATAAGCTTTTGTCTATTGACTAAATTCCATTATGTTTCAACCCCTTCTACATTCCTACAATGTACAAGTATGACGAGGCCATGCAGATAAATTGTAGATTTCTCCAGATCTCTCCACAAAAGAAGCATGCTGCTTTGTAAAAAGAGGTTCCTTGTTGAACAGGACAGACAGTGATGCATGTTAGTCCTCCTACAGACCCTCCTGTAGTGCTTCAGTGGCATTTCAGTGTTTATCTCCTGCTAGCTGGTGAGAGGGGGGACTAATTAAGATCTGCCTGCAGGTGGCCCTTACTGGGGTTTATGGGTCTCTGAGGAGATGAAGAGGAGGAGGAGGCCAGAGAAGCTGACCACTCCCAGCAGGAGTAAGGGGCAACTGCCTCAGGACACAGGATGACACGCATTACTGTTCTGGTGCAGCAAGATAGCATAATTAGCCAGAGGAAGAGCATTAAGATAGCAAAGAAATCTGAAAAACAAGGTAGTTACAGAGCGCTAAGAGGAAGGAAAATACATAAAGAAGAGGGCAAATGGGACAGAATCACTGCAATCAGCTAAACAAGACCTTCCTCTGTTTACAGCCAAAGGAGTGTGTTGGAAACGTTTACTCATTCTCAAAAGGGTTGATGTCATTAAACCACAAAATCCCAGAACTGACATCATCAAAGTGTACGACAGTACACACTTGATCACACCAAACCACTCGATTCTCACACTTTCTGATGCACACACAATTGATGGAAATCAGTGCTTGTTGGAGTTGTACCAAACATCAAGCCTCGTTTAAGCAGACACAGGTAAACAAACAGCAGAAGGAAGGGTTTACAATAAACGGGGGGAAATGCGTCCAAGCTCTGTGTTGTAACGTGTGTCTTTTGTTTTTCTGTTAGAAATATTTCATAAAATTCAACAAATCATCATGAGCTGTGTTCAAACAAAGACACAGGCCAAAAAATAAAGATTTATAACCTTACAGGGGGAACAGTGCGCGCACATGTGTGTGTGTTTTGGATTTAGGGAAGCAGAAAGTGTGTTAGCGTGCGGACGCTGGTCTGCACCACATCCTGGTTTCTACTACTCAGAAGCCCAGACATCTCAGCCAACTGTGTAGATGCTTCTCTTACATGTGAACAGCAGACACACACACACACACGCATGCACACACACACACACACACACACACACACACGCTCACACAATGAATTGCTTGCGTAAAGCCAAACAAACAATGGAATGTTCCAACTCAAACTGTCACAGAGTGGATTAAAGTAATAGAGGTACCAGAAGTCAGAAACTTAAACCTGCAGCTTTAGACTTTGCCTATAAAATAACAGTTAACTAATACCAGACGATTGATTACAAGATGCTGTGGGCAGCATGGGTGGATGTGGGATTTGTCTACAAAGATTCAGATAAGGATGCCAAATCACTGTGGTCCCAGTGGCGTGACACCAGGGGCAAAGCAACCAGCTGTTATGGGAGTTTGAATCTCAGCTCTGCATTTTTAGAGCTGATCTGCAATAGACACAAATAGACACAGTCTTCTTTTAAAGCTGGAGACCTTAAGCTGCATGAACTCCAGACAATGAAGAGTCATGTCTGGCCATCGTCAGAATAAAAATACTCTAGGTTTAGAGTGTGGCTTAAAAAAAGACTATATGAGTATAATTCAAAAATAAGATTACAGAGCATTTTGTTCATAGGATTGTTTAATCAGTCAGAAGGAAAAAGTAAAAACACAAAAAAGTATCAAGATGCAGTGACTTTTCTGTACAACCATCTTTTGTCTCTTTTTGACCCACTGTATCACTTCTTGATGATAAAAAAAAACACCCAATTCATCCAAGGAAAGCCTAAATCTGGTCTGTTAATGGTTGATCCACAAGCTGTTTGATTTTGTTTAAGAAAAAATAACAGGGTGGAGTTTTAGAAACTGGTGAAGACACAAACAGATGTACTACGACCACAGTAGTTTAGAAGCCTAATGCTAAACAGCTGCATGCAGTCATTTACAACTAACACGTGTAAGTGTTGACTGAAAAGCCAAAGATCGACGTGCCAACACAACACTGCCTTGCACTCACAACTGCTAATTAAAGTCTCTGATGAGTCCAAACCTTAGACGTGATGGGGTGTTGCAGCTCGCTGTGGCAGACAGGGATTGAGCACATGTATTATTCATGACTGGACACAACCAAACACAAAGTAGCACTCAAGCTCTCTAAAAGCCCTCCGTAGTCCCATGGGAGCAGGTAACATCTCCATATGGACTACTTTCAGAAGAAGGCAGAGTTCATGTGAGTGATGCTAAAGTAAGTTAGAAAGTAAAACACTTTCACCTTACAATTGAACGTGATTGGTTGTATTTTATTTAAATGGAACTCTATCTGAATGACCAAGCCAATGGGAGGACAGGAGATCAGACATCTTGTTCTAAACAATTCAGTTCAACGAGGGCAAGTGATGGCAAGCCATCTGTGCCATTACATGTTTTACAAGCCACTGAATGAAACTCCTTTGACATTTCTCTCAAGAATGAAAGGATAATCCCCTTTACAACCCTCTGTACCTGATATGGCCTCGGCCCTCGAGAGTCTTTTTAAACCTCAAGAGACTTCAACAAAACAACTTCATTTAGAAAGCAGCTAAAGTGGCTCTCTGGTCTGACAAAAGGCCTTTAGCTACTATGACCAGCAGGGAAATCAGCCTCATATGCATCAGATAATGGAGGTCTGAGGAGGGTGATGGATAGGAGGAAGATGGGGACCTTGTGACACTTACTGGTTCTTGTCAGTCACCACAGGCAAAGGAATATCTTCGCTCACGTCGTCTAGATCATCGGTCAGGCTGTTAGCTCGAGAGATGTCTATAGATGTGCTTTGATCACTACTTCCTTTTACTGTAAGAAAAAAAAACATAAAAATACTTATCTGTCACTGTTCACCTAATTTCAACAACCCAGTTTAGAGTGAAACAGAACAAATGAAAAAGTCATTTTGAAATGCCGTGTGTGTGTTTTGAGTGTTTCGGTACAGACACTTAAACTCTGATAAAACTACTCTACATGACACAAAATGAAGATTCCCCATATGTTAAATTAAAGGAGCAATATGTAAGACTGATATCCTGTGGTCATATTTGGGTACTGCAGTCCATTTTTACAAACAAAATGTCACTTTCTCACTCCCGTTCCGTGAGTTTCATGGCTGTTGCCCATTGTGGATCAGCGCCAGAAGCTTCTAAATGACAAGCAAGGACAACGTCATGCAATCATGTGTTTTCACAAAAGATTTCAGTAGCTTTTTTTGAGTACCTTTATCTCTGACATATCTTGCTTTTTATTGCAATTGAAGCAGCGCTCCTTAACTCATTCACTGCCAATGATGACTAAAGTCGTCATTTGCATTTTTTTTACTGTTTGAGCATCAGAACGAGCCCCCGCACTGAGAGAACAAACATCTCAGCCCTGAAAGCCGATCTTCATCTGTATACGTCATATGTCACGTGATCAGGAAGTAGACCATCCATGTGTTAGGAGATCGTTTTGGGCCGTTCCTGTAAAAAAAGTGAGGTGCGAACCAGAAAAGCGTCTGCCGATCACAATTCGACAACAGATTATGAAAGAACGGATAACGCTCAAAACACGCGGCTTCTTCCTGATGTAAGAGGTGAGTCTCCTCTTTGTTTTGGTTGTTTTGGTTGTTTTGGCGTCGACATCATCCTAGCGCGCAACGTTCTGTGACTCTTAAAAAAACAGTTACAATGGTGAGAAACACTGGCAGCGAAGGCCGTTAGCGATCAGGAAATGGCTGGCAGTGAATGAGTTAAAGTGGAAGTGTGTATTTTTCCTGGCAATAGGGGACAGAAGATACCTAATTTGTTGCAAGCAAGTGGTATTAATGTCAGAGTAAGACCTTACCAATGGATGACTATTAGGGTCAAAAAGCCACGAGGAGTTCAAACTTCAGCTAAATAACAAGCACATCAGACTCCCTTTCATCACTGGCAACAAGTGAAGAGGTAAATGTGTAAAACAACATTTAACAATGACAAAAGTTTTGTAATCATTACAAATCGGTAAATGCTTTTTGTCCTCATAGGCTCCCGTAGGAGAAAACATGGCATCTAATATGGTGTCGCCCAGAGACTTAGGCCTAGTCCACACGTAGCCGGGGTTTTTTGAAAACGAATATCCGCCCCTCCAAAAACTTGCATCCACACCACCGCGTTTTAAAAACAAACTCTGTCCACACGTTCCCGGATAAATACGTTGTTAAGGACATGCCAGACCTGTAGGCGGCAGTACTTCCCCCGTTCTTAACCTCGTCCTTCGTCTGTGGTCTTCCGCAAGGAGCAGTAATTCCGCTTGCAAAAACAAACAAGCAAAAAGCGCTTGGACAATTGATAAAGCGAGCGCAGCTCTGAGGGCATCCGTGCTGTCGGCTAGTATAAACACAGGTCGCACACGTGATGTCAGCAATTTTTGTCGCGGAAAGTGACGTTGCGGACCTTAAAACTCCGGTTTTGTCCGTCCACACGCAGACACCCAAAACGGAGAAAACACAGATCTTCACTTTGGCCGGGGTTTTTAAAAAGATCCGTTGTCGTGTGAAAAAACTCAGTTTTCGTGTGGATGACAGGCCAAAACGTAGAAAAATATCTACGTTTTGGCAGATCCCCGGCTACGTGTGGACAGGGCCTTAGAACTGCTCCCATATATTTTAGACCTGATTTTTATTTAATCTACACTAATTTATGTGTAGATTAAATAGCTCTGATATTGAGATAATCGAGGCATTAGCCTCTCCTGCACACAGTGACACCAGATATACATTGTGTTACTGTAAATATTGGATTAGCGCTCTCTATACATTTTAGTCTACTTGATAACTTTGAGCTTTTATGTAGTTTCTTTATAGCCAATGCTATTGTGTATCTCACTCATTATTTTAAATTGATGTATTTTATTGTAAACATTTTATTTTACCTATTTATTGTTCTTGTATTTTAATCAATGTTTAAATGTTTTTGGACCAATGTGTCTGTTAATAAAGCATTCAACTATCAACTATGGTTACTGGTTACAAAGCTGCCAAATTTTTCAACAACTGGGCATCATTTGTCATATTCAACAACATTTTAATGGATATTTCCAGAAATGGATGGTAAAAACTACACATTGTCTCTTTAAGTTGTTTTGACAAGCCGCTCCTAAAAAGGTGTCTTTCCTTCACAGTGCCCTTGAACTGTCCGGTGACCTGAGCTCCAGCTCTAAAGGAGAGAAGCTCATGGAGTTCTGCATCGCTCCAGTTTATCTAATTTATCACTGTCCAGTTTATAGTTTACCTCTCTTGTGCCAAGTCCGACAATGCAGTGATTTTACTACCAAGCTTAGCGGGATGAAAGCCATGAAATTCTTGCATCACTATGCCGACACGGCACATTCATAAGACCTGCCGTGGTGGAAGTTTTACACCGATTTGCTGATATGGAGTGTCTTCTGAAAGCGGCTAATGTAGCCTTTCTTCAATATGATTGAGACTGGCTGTTTTGTAATTATTTCACTGTAAAAGTATTTCATATTGCTCCTTTAATGAACAAAACATAAAGATGTGTGTTTGTGCAACAATGGCTGAGGCAAAAATAATAAAAAAAAGAAACAGAATTAAGAATAAAGATCAGAAAGATACCTGGAGAAGGAGGGCAGCTCAAAGTGAACGATGACCAAGAATGGTGAGGATGGCCTGATGATGTGAAAAAATAGATTTAATATAACAGAAATGAAGGAAAAGAACGTAAAGAGCAAGTCACCCCCTACCAGAATCTAACTCCACTTCCACTTCATGTTTGAAAAAAGCAACAAATACTGTTGCCTGGCAGACCGAGAAGGCAGAGCTGCTAACAAATACACACACACACAGGCTCACGACAGCATTGTGACATCATAATGTACCAGTTTACATCATAGCATACCTCTTAGCCAATAGCGGTGGCAGATTTAAATTCAAATACAGTGCAGAGTTTTTACCTGACAACGGCACAACACTGCCAGTTTTAGGCAGAATATTTAAATTTTAACTAAGATGCACTGAAGTGCCAAATTATTGACGACACGTGTCTGCAGCACGATTAGACACTCGTTTATTTAGTTTATCCGCAAAAAAAAGTTTATTTGGGGGTGACTTGCTCTTTAAAAAAAAGTAAATGTAATGAAGCTGAGTTCGGTTTTATTGTTGCATTATATTTGGAATGTTTCTAATCTCCAATTTTCAAAATGATAGGACATTACAATATTTGAGAATATATTGTGAAAATAATTATCATTAAAAGAAAAAAATGATCCAAACAATAAGTTGATCGAGATATTGATTGAGGTGTTCACAGACATTTTACCTTGGTGATTGTTTCTAGCTTTGTTCTGCCACTGTGACTTTACCATGAGGGACGTGTGAATAACACCACGTTGTTCACATGTTAATTTCATTCCACATAGATAAATACTGTAATCCCGTTACTCAGTAACATGCAAAATAGTTTGAAAACAAAAAAGCATTGATGAAACGTTATGTAAATCTTGATACATTCTCACTATTCAACAAATAATGACGTTTTAGCCACATCTCCCTAATATCCAACCAGGCATTTATCAAAAAATGAAACACAAGATCCTGCAGCGCTCTGCTTCAGCCGTGCAGCTGGCTGGCTGTTGGTGCAACTAATAACAACAGCAATGAACATGTGTAGCAGGGTCTTGACCTGCAGTCAGACTGTCGGCAGAGTTTGACGTGTCTCTCCTCCAAACCACCAAGCCTCCATTGTGATGAAGAATGGAGAGAGAAAATCTGGGTCAGAGTACTGAATGACTATTCCAATTAAGCCAAAAGGCTTTTAAGGTCTCTTGTATTCCATCATCTACTCTGACATTGTCAAATGTGGAAGTCGAAAGAGCAGCACGATAGCAGGCCTGCAGATGCTGAGACTGAACACAAACAGCTGAAAAGCTGAATAATTCTGGCACATGAGATTAGTCCATGAGCAAAAGAGTGGAAGGTAAAACTAAGAATTTAAAGATAAACAGAGGTTAACATGATAGTTATTGGGCACTTCACTGAGTTCTTCTCTCCCAGACTGCAGTGGTGGGTGGAGTCAGACAGAAAGGTGGAACCATGAACCCAGACACAGACTAAATCAAACAATGACCAGTCCATTTCTAACCACTGGGGCGCCACAATGGCAGCTTATCAACTCTTCATCTCCCCTCCCTCTCCACCTCTCTTTAGTGTCCCAGCCTGTGTGCTCTCTATCCCCAAGGGCCCTGTCCATTCGTAGCCAGGCTCAGGCCCAGCCCCAAACATTGGCAGGGCATCCGGTAAAGACAACAGGCCGGGTCAACACCAGGACTGGTGTCTGAGGCTGTCACCTTTAGGTTCTGGTTTGGTCTGGCTGAAAACACAGGCTCAGCCACGCTGTCCAGTCAGCTAATTTCAATACAGTATGGGTCTGGTAATGAACGCTATGGAGGAGGTATTAATAGAAAATAATACACGTTTGCAGTGGTCTCTAGTATAAATTAATGTCTTGTGAGACAATCTGTGGGGAAAAAGGCTCTGGTGCTCCTGCTTCTGGAGGCAGAAGTTAGCCAGATAAGGGGTGAACTTCATTCGGTAAGATTTGGGGTCTTACTTCCTGATATTTGGACATCTCGCCTCTGACTGGCTAACATCAACATAACTTTACCACTGACTCCGTTCACGCTGAAATATAGATGTTTGATCTCCACAAATGACACAATCCTGAAAGAGTTCTGCTGTGCGGTGGAGTTGCTAATGCTAAAGGTTAGCTTCTACTAGCTGAGGCGTGCTCTGCTCTCTCCTGGGTGCTGTATCAAAGTAGTGATCCGCCTCGTGCAAATGGCTTTTCCAAATCGAGCGAATAGCGGTAGAAGACTATCTTCACATTTAGCCTGCATGTTAAACTCAGAGTGACCAATCATATTTCAAAAAGAACAATTAAACATGTTCTCAGTAAACTTGACCTTTACTTAATTTTCAACCTTTGTTTCAGCTTCCACATGAATAAAGATTCATTCAGTTTTTCTTCAAGACTTCAGTATTCTAAAGTTTTTAAAGTTACATTAATCTAAAATATAAGCAATAAGAAATATGATAAAGAGGAGTTCACCGTAGATTTCCTGAGGAATAATTTCTCTAAAATGATTCTGGAAACCTGTTTAATGTATGTCACATGTACCGGCTGAGTGGATAAGTTAGGGGAACTCACCTGTTTTTCTCAACATTTTGGAAATCCCTGCAAAGAGAAAAACATGCAACATGTCATAGTTAAAAACAGAAAACCTGACATCATTACCAATGTTTTTATTTCTGCATAATTATTTAAAGTATCATGAATGTGATGAAAACTATATGAAACTTTAAATTTACACAAAAATAAGAAGTTTAATTGTGCATATATTAAAATTAAGAAGACAATTTCCTTTGATTTTTGACATTTCTGGGTAAATTTAAAGCCTGAGACATCCTAACAAAGATACGCAGAGATGTGTGAAACAGCCCTGCAGATGTCTGTTTAATGGAAGGTCCTGAAGCTGAGATCTTACAGTCCTTTGCCATTTCAACACAGACATTATAATTAGTGACAGCCGGCTGCAGACTTCCTCACATGCTTTAGTGTCATCTACAGCTTGTCCTATTTATATTTCCACTCCAGTTAAATGTGGTTGTTTATGGTCCTGATTGATGATCACGCCGAAACAAGATGCTAAACGTCTTTTGAATTATTTTCCAAGATCACCCATTCACAGAGAAGCCCTGGCTTTAACTCGTATAGGTGACTCTTACAGCGAGGGTTTGCCTTCCTGTCAGGTTTAGGTCACCCCAGGTCCTTTTACGATTGTGTGCTTTGACAGGAAAAACTCATAAAATCTGTGTATTAACCTGGAATCTGGTTCGCTTCATTTAGTGGCTTTTAACACAGGAAGCTGAACCACCTCCCTCATGAGCATCCGTCCATCATGTAGTCTATGAGTCCACGTTTAAAATCACTGCTGAGGTTTGGATCAGAGTGTTAAACACATACAAAATGTCGAATCAGCACTGTTACTGAGTTTGTGCCATAAACGTCTAATGGCTTTGGTGGACTGCAGCGTGTTAGCAAGCTGCGAGTGCCATCGCAAGAAATTCTCGCTTGTAACTTTGACAAGCTGGTTTTTTAAAGTTGTTTCCATTAAAGGCTGGTGTGTGTCTGTGGCCAGAAGAAGGGACGAGCGAAGCCGTAAAGAGCTTGTAACCGTGACCTCTAATCACTACTAAGACTCTAATGGCTTCCATGTGGCTTACTGGAGACACCTGGCAGCCATCTTTGCGCTGAGGAGATCGGGATCTCTGTTTACTGTGAGAAAACGGGGAACCAACCCATAACAACTTGTTGCCAAAAGTCTGCACTGCAGCAACTTATGCGGTCAACATCTATTTCTAGCTGCCGCTTTGACTCTTCTAACAAAAAGGTAAGAAGAAACAAAAACAGAAGCAGAACACACCTGCCTATTCATTTGCTGTTCACTGACATGCCTGAGGTTTCTAAAAACCTGACAGCTAACATTTCTAAAGTAACGGCCATACAAACATGTCATTCACAGTAGTTGTTTGAACATCCTAAACACCCCGAGAGCAGTGACTCATCAAACGTCCTTAAAAATGGGTTTCCAGAAGCGTTAAAGCTGCTTAACATCATTCCTTCTCCTAAATGTGCATTATTTCATCCAGCTGCACTATATTTATTCTGAATTAAAACACTGAATCCAGTTTGAAAGCACCTTTACAGAAATGTGTCAAGTATACATGTCATTCTCTAGTCAGGAGATCCAAAACAGAGTTTTCTCTGACAGTAATGAAACAGAATTGGGTGCTTTCATGTGTTATCGTGGCACGGTCGTTGCTCCTGGGCGGATGGATAAAAAGGCAATATATATAAAAAGTGATCCAGCTTTGGAAAAGCCTGCTAGAGGGAAATTACAAATTAGCATTTCACGTGAGCTTGAGTGACTTTAGGGCCAAGTAGAGAAATGCTCTTTCCAGTTGATCATTACCTTCAGCTGTCCCCCGAGGCTCTTCAAGGAAGAAAGAGACGTCCTTCTTTTCCACTGAATCATCAATGTGTTCATAAGTGATCTGAGGGATCGATACAGCTCTTTCTGAGGCCACGCCCATGGAACCGATTCCTTTGGACTTCAGCCGCCTCTTAGTCCCCTTCTTCTGATGGACAGAAGAAACATCAAGCCAGCAAAAACAAAAACTACATCAGGACTGCCAACGTGAAGAACAGGCTTTTATTAACATGACTAGAAACAGCATTATCCTTCCTCAAACACATAAAAGGACTAAAATCTGAGTTGAGTTATTTTTATTTTCTATGATTATAGCTGACGAACATCCACATCTACTGACTACTGCTGTACTTCTAAATCTCGTCATACGTTCTCTTTCCAGTTGTGAGGAACAGATGGTTCCTAAACTCCTTCACATAAAATAAACGAGGCTTTAATGTGTTTAATAAATACAAGCTGAGCACCGGATTGGAGGAAATGACAAGTGCAAACAAAATGTCTTATTATGTCATGTCATCACACCTTCTTTTTCTTGTGAGATCAAACTGAACAGGACTGATCTAGCCCACTTACAGTAATCTAATATTACACTACAAATAGATCCACAGACCCTCACCCACGCCTCTAAAAACACAGATATCCAATATAAATGCAGATGTTCACGTCTGGTGTGAAAAAGCACAAACAGGCCAACAACACTGAGGTACCAAAACTGTTTATTGGTCTCACCAAACTGCGAGCTCAAGCAGCAGCAAGAAGGTGATGCTTGTTTAATCTGAGTTTTCTTGGGTGAGATCATTGTGAGTCAGTGGGTTTGATGTTGTCACCACTCAGACCCTACTGACAAACATCATGGATGTTAGCCTTAGAGCAACCCAATTGTTTGGACTTCCTGGATCACACTAACTCAATGAGTCACTGGGAGAAACTACAAGACGGAGGCGGTGGTTGATCTCGTCAGAATGAGAAATAAAGAATTCAAAGAGGGTAAGAAAGTTAGAAAAGAGGAGTACAAAGAAGGTGTGGAGTTACAAATGAACTGGAGAGAAATCTGCTGATGAGAATGAAGAAGCAGGCGGAGGAGAATACTCAAAGGCAGATGAGGAGAATGGGGAAGAAAGAGGAGTCTGAGGCTGAATCTTGAAAGACGGAGGAGAAAGTCACATGCTGAAACAGAAAGGAGCGGAAACAGCCTTCATTCTCTCAAATATATGTGGGTTCAGGGCAATACAAAGATTTTTTTGTTGTTGTTCTACTAGACAAAAGTTTACTCCCATGAGAAAGGCGTCGGTGACATCATCTCAACTGACTGGCTCTTTGTCCAGCAGAGACAAAGGCCTCGAGTCATCCTGGTGGAGTCAGGCCTTTAGGGTAGGAGGGGCTGCTGTGTGGGGTTTTGTGGTTTCTCGCCATTGTGTATTTTACGCGTGTGTGTGTATATTTGTGGGAACTCAGCTTGCCCTGTTATTCCTCATGGCCTTTGTACAATGTTGCTAACGTTGTTGCAAAAGGTGAACTGTACAACGATGCAATACGGTGAGGGGTGCGTAAACGCAACATGAAATCAAACAGCCCAAAAATGTTTAGCAACATTGATCATTTTTGATTTTTGACAAATTTCATAAGAAATATCACAATCCTTCTCAGCTTCTCATGAAGAAGTAAAAACACCTGGTTTCATGTTCTTATTGTGAGGTTTCACTGACTGTCGCATGAAATCAGGAAGAGAGAAAATCACCGCAATGTTGAGCTTCTTGATGCTGGGACTGGTGTTGTCAGCCTGTGCTGCAGCCACACCCTCTGGAGTTAAGACGTACATTTTCCATGTAACAGCACAGCCGTTTGGTTTCTCTGCTGCATAGCACCTCCACAGAGTCTGGGAAACACCAATCAGGGCAAACACCATCATTACTGGCAAGGATTTAAAACAGGATTACATCAGCTCCAGGAACAAACTACGGGATAGGACCTCAGGATTTATTCCCTGAGACTAAACTTAGAAAACTCTTTTAAGTTCTCTTTTTTTTTTTTTGGAAAACTAGAGAGTGGAAGATGTGAGTTATTGTTCAACCCAACTCATTTCATAAACATGCACGGTAACATGTACGGTGCTGCAGTCCAGTTTAAAGCTAGAGGCATGTCTCCTTGTTTTCCTGTGATTTCAATATCCCAGTCAAAGACTGAAATGTTATAAAAAAAACAGGTTTTCAGGTGTAATTCAGTATTTAATTGCTAAATCATGACAAAACTGTTTCCAATTGTAATGTAAAAAGATCTGTAACACTTTACAATTGTAATTCCCTCACAAATGTTGTCCACGATCATTCGCCAGCAAAAGTCTGGCCATTATGTGATCTTTTGGTAACAAGATCAGAAGAAACACACAGAATTAATATACAAAAGAACCTTTTTATTTGTTTCTCAATTTCAATGAGTGCAAAAGAAAACATTTAGAGGTGAAATTTAAAACTAAATCAGGATGAATTATGAACAAACAGACATGAATAAGACATTTTACGACTAAAGCCGGGCGTACACTGTGCGACTTTTTCACTCGTAGCACTCACCTTCAGCTCAAACTGTACGACTTCCTCGCAGAGCAGATCTCACGAGCCAGGCGCTCACACTGTACGACCCAGTTCTCGCATGCAACCTGACTGTTCACACTGTACGTCTGGCAGCAACACGTCGGCCCTAAAAATATGCTAAAAATAGCAGTTTTTACTCAACACGTCAGACTTTTTTTGTCTTGTTTTGCCTGTTGTCCTTCAGGAGTGCTGCAGGAGGACACACAGGGATTTATGGGGGTTGGATGAGGAAAACGAAATAAAGAAAGTAAATCTGTGTTTTGTGATCAGTTTAATTTGACATGAACACGACAAACACGCTTTCTTGACAATCTTTGTGAGTAAAAAAACGTGTAGAAACAAAAACGAACAACGTGTGTTATTAGGGAAATAGCGGGCGAGCGGTGTTGATGCAGGATTGCGCATGCGCCGTGAGCGGTTCTGATACATTTTGGGTTGCAGCTGCTCGCAGCGCCGCTTCAACAGTGCGATACCCTCACGAGAGACGAACAAAATATTAAACACGCCAAAAGTCCATGCGACCTCACGACTGCTGATCGGTAGCTGGTCACGTGGTGTTAATCGCCTCTCGTAACCCCCTGTACACTACACGACCGCTCGGCACAAAACTCGCCCCGATGTCGTGGATTCTCGCACGAGTGGAAAATCGGCTCAAAAAAGTGAAAAAGTCGCACAGTGTACGCCCGGCTTAAATTGAGACTACTTGTAAAAATAATTCCATTGTAATCCCAACATTAATTAAACTCCAAAGGTTTTGTGTGATGACAACAAAAAAATGTTATAATTTGGTATCTGATTTAATTCCCAACAGGCACAATCCAGTCAGAAACTAACATATTTATTATAGACAAACTTACAAGTTTATTTCAGCAGCAATTTGAAATGACTTCAATTGTTTTAACTGAAAAAAAAAGTAACATTTTGCTGTCTGAATGCATACCTGGATGAGAGAGGCTGCAGCGGGGATTTGTCTATTAAAGTGCTTCTGTCGCTGCTTCTGCTGAACTTTCAAGGCAAACCCTGAGCCCAGGATACCCTAAACAGACAGAATTAGGTCTCAGGATGACAAAGTACACGCAGAACCTCAGAATACATCAAACACTAAATTTCAGTTATTTTGTAATTTTTTTTTTTCAACACTAGATTTTTATATGTTTTGAAATAAAAACTGTATTTACAGCAGGTAGAGCAAAGAAGGAGATAGCGAAGACACTGAAGCATGAAGCAATGGCTTTCCCGATCCATGTTTGAGGAATTTTGTCCCCATAACCGATCGTGGTGACGGTCACCTGACGAGGAGAAAAAGGTAAAAGATTTCTCATATCAAACACGATACATTCAACACCATGCCAGTGGTTCCCAACCTTTTTCCCAAGGGACCCCGTTTTTTACCAGTAAAATTTTTGACGACCCCCTCCCATTCTCTCTTCCAGTACAAACAGATTTACTGTGGAAATCCTCAGATATTAAATCAAACTTGTATTCAGTCCAATACAGTCAATAGAATTATGTCATTTTTCAAAAAATCATAAAAAATCATCCTTCATAGCTGATGTACAACTTTCACCACATCCCTACTCTGGAACACCTACTGTACCTGTGTGCCACATTTCAGACTAGTAGGCTCCAGTACAGAACAAAGTCATTAACAAAACCAAACAGAGCATAATGTGCTTGACAGTTTGTATTACTTTTCTGAACACATTGCTTCTTGTAAACACTGATAAATCAATCATTCCTTTCAATAAACGTTTGACACATAAAAAATACACTGAGCAAAATGTACTTAAATGTGTATATTACTGTTTATTCTAGATTATTTACTGTAAAGGCTGTGATTAATCAACCAGTCCTATCTTTAATGAACTTTTGACACTTGAAAATAAAACTGTGAGCTGAGCAAAATGTTCTTAAAAGTGTGTTACTTTTTCTGTACTAATTATTTCCTGTCTTAATATCAGCAAACTTTTCACTCATGAAAAAAATGTGAGCAAAATGTAGGCTATAAACAAGTAATAAATGAAGTTTTAACCCCTTAAAGTGGAGAGGTCCTGGCGACCCACTGAGAGGCTTTGGCGCCCCCTTGTGGGGGTCGGGACCCCCAGGTTAGGAACCACTGATGTATACGAACTGGGAACACGTCTCTGAAAGGAAAAGACTGTGTTCAGCTGTTCTTTTTTATAGTGTTTGTGCTTTTTTTCTTGATCATAAATACAAATGTGCTTGTAATTGGAAAATTTAACCATATAAGTCAAACAAATCTCCAAAGCTGTTTACCACCAACAACAAAAATAAATAAATACAGACTTGGTGTACAGATGTATTTAACACATTTGCATGACAAACGTCACAACTATAGTCCCAAAAACAAAAGTTATTCCATTCGCTCATGGTTTCGATTAAAATCATGCAAAGCTTTTTAATCTGTCCCACAGCAGTCTAGAAACTAGTCGACAACAACAGAAGAAGTTCATCAGCCACAGTGGTGCCGCCCCTCAACTGCCAGCGATGGTTGGAGCATTTGATGTTCTTTCTCCTCAAGGGGAATGGGATTCCCATCCACTAATCCTCACTGAGTGTAGGAATTTGCCGGGCTAAGGAGGGAGAATAAATACCTCTTGCACTTGCACGTACACCCACTATGAAAGACGAGCCAGCTCTGACACATTCAGAGCACACTCGGCTCGCTGTGGGTGTCTGCGGGGTGTCGCTGGGTGAGCCGCTGCTGTGAGCTAACACAAAGCGGCTGATGTAAGGTGAGACATTTTAAGGAGCTTTGGGGGGGGGAGGCAGGAAAAGCGGGCGGGTTTAGATTAGGGAGAGGGTGGAGTTCTGAGGGATTTAATCACTCATCCACAAAGCCAATGTCTAAACAATGTCCTCCTGACATCAGAGTGGAATAATCTATTAAAAAAACTCTCGTTCAGACAGGAGAGTGTGTGGAGGGAGCTGCACAAAGGTCACGGACCTGTACACTGATTATGTGTATTTATGAATGCTTCTACAGGCATTGTGTAAGCTCCACGGAGCGCGAGTAAGCACTAAAAGAGTTGGTGTGACACACCCTTTTTGATTGAGATCACCAAGAAGATCAATTAAAAAGCTATTAACTGTTATTAACTGGGAAAAATAAGAAGCAAATATGGTTAGCGAGGGGGTGGGGAGCATAGGAGAAACAGAAGGGGATATGAATCATGGCCTTGGCTTGTTCTTCAGCTGTGCAGTGCACCTGCACATCTGAATGCGAAACCCATGCCAAGTGAAGGAACTCGCTGCGGGAAAAGCTGAGTTTCATCAAGTGAACACAAAACCCCTCACAAACTTTGCCAAAACCAACGCAAGAGCATATCATCACTCTCAAGTTTACAGTTTCAGAAAAACACAAAGGTGCAAATCCCCAAGTGGGACTTTTTTCTTTGAATTGTGAAAAGAAAAACACAAATAACCGCCTACAGAGGGAGGAGCAGCATGACCCTTCTAACCCTTGCAACATAAAGGTCGTAATCCTGCAATTAAAGTTTTAATTAAGGGAACCAAAACTTTATATTGGTGCTCTAAAAGTTCTTTCAGCCGAAGAGAAGAAGAAGTGAATGTTTTATCACACTCAATACTGATCCTTCGCACAAGGCTGATATAGGTTTCTCATTATTCTGTATTTTCTATTCACATGTTAAATTACTCTTCCAGAAATGTGAGCCTGCACATGAAGGAATTAGCAACTCTGAGCACAGAAAGCATCAACACAATGGCATCTGTGTTAAGGGTATAATAATATAACTGGGAATGTGGCCTAATCAGGGTGGCCACTTGTGTTCTTCCTATTAGAACTTCCTTTGGGAATGCACTGTACAGATCATGTGATCTCCATTTAGCAGGAAGTTTCTGTCATGAATTATAAATATTTTAAGGATTAAACTTACAAGCTATGTTTGGAAAATAAAATACAACACGTTAGGCCACCTTTAGAACAAGGAAGACTCACTGAGAAGACACAATATGCAGGCAATAAGATAATTACACCACCCAGCCAAAATATAAGTCACCACCTGGATTTAAGTAAGCAAATAGGTAGGAGCCACCTATTGGATAATTTCTGCATGGGCGATTATCTTTCAGCTGGCAACAAGTTATTAAAACCCAACTGGTGTAATGAGTTGCTTCTCGTTTCTTAAACAAGCATGTAGAAAGACACATCCGGTGGTCATGGAAAAGATGTTAGTCTGTTTGAGAAGGGTCAGATCATTGGCATCAAGCAGAGAAAACATTTAGGAGATTGTTGAAACAACTAAAATTTGGTTGAGAACTTTCCAACACACTAATAAAAACTGTTCTGATGAGTCCAGATGGACCCTGTTCCAGAGTGATGGTGCATCAGGGCAAGAAGACAGGCAGATGAAGTGATGCACCCATCATGCCTAGTGCCTACTGTACAAGCCTGTGGGGGCAGTGTTATGATCTGGGGTTGCTGCAGTTGGTCAGGTCTAGGTTCAGCAACAGGATGTGCTCCAAGAATGAGGTCAGCTGACTACCTGAATATAATGAATGATCAGGTTACTCCATCTTCCATGATGACATGGGTATATTCCAAGATGACAATGTCAGGATTCATCGGGCTCAAATAGTGAAAGAGTGGTTCAGGGAGCAAGAGACATCATTCTCACACATGGATTGGCCACCACTGAGTCCAGACCTTAACCCCACTGAGACTCTTTGGGATGTGCTGGAGAAGGCTTTGTGCCGCAGTCAGACTCTACCATCTTAAGTGTAAGATCTTGATGAAAAATTAATGCAACACTGGATGGAAATCATTCTGGTGACGTTGCAGGAGCTCATCAAACAAGGTCAGTGAATATTCAAGGGTTTTAAAATTGCAGGGTGGCTAAAACTGGCTAAAGTTTTAAATATTAGCCCATTTGTGCATTGCAATGTAAAGCTTTGCCTTGGAGTTGTAGGCGGTCTGAATGCAGTTTAGCTCAGCTAACAATACGACACAAAATGATACAACTCAATGAATGTAAAGCAAATCAAAATGACACAATACATCAGAGTTTAACATATTTTCCAACACGATACAGACAGTGTCATGTGATACCACATGACCTAACAAATCACAATTACATACATCATGACATAACACAACACAATACAATTCAACCCAATAAAATAAGAGACTATTCTACATAAGTTGATACAAAACAATGTAATACGATAGGAAACATCACAACATGGCACAATACAATATAATGTAATATAATAACTAATAACTCTAATTTCCCTCTGGGATTAATGAAGTATCTTTGATTTGATTTGATTGATTGATTGATTGATTGATTGATTGATTGATTGATTGATTGATTGATTGATACCCTACAAAAAGATATAAGACAAAACAATATACTCAGTAATGTTCATTGAGCAAATGTTACGAAGTAAAATACAAAACAGCTTTTGAAATCCTATGTACTCCCACGAACAGTCCCATGACCATTTATACAAACACATTTTGGTTAATGATAATCTGCCTTACCACGCCCCACCACAGTGCATCAGCGTAGCTAGAGAAGCCTGTCTTGCCCTCCTCATCTACAGCATCCTTCTCCGCCAAGTAGACAAAGTAGGAGGAAAAAATCAGTCCCAGGAAGCCAATGTACAGGGTGGTAATCAACTCCTGAAAAACAAAAAATCAAAAAGGAGGAAATTAAATACAGTGTCAGGTAATAGTATTTACCTAATGAAAAGCCATTGGACATCACTGCTGGGAATGGTTTTATTAATGAACTCTCATGCTGCAGAAGGCCCACTGCTTTTCTCAGATAACACATAATCTGTAAATACATGCACATTATGTTCATTTATCTCCATAGGATTGTTTGGGTCATACCTGTGTAGATGAAGAAACAGGCTTTGGCCTCACTATTCTGCAATGTTTTGATGGTTTGTACACAGGCTTTTCTCTGCATCTTTTTAAGCTTCATGAAATCTTTCAGGACTTACTTGGGAAATAATAGTCCTTGCGTCATTCACCACTGAGACAAGCCCGTTTGGGGGAAGGATAAAAAGGGTGTGGTAGTGATTACCGTGTCTGCAATCAGACGAGAATACTGGGGATATCTGAGCACAATGACAGAAGTATTTGCAATAGATATGCAGTAATTGCAAGTTACGTCTTTACTCCTCCAGCTACGGTATTTGTTTCTTCTTCTTCTTCTTCTTCTTCTTCTTCTTCTTCTTCTTCTTCTTCTTCTTCTTCTTCTTCTTCTTCTTCTTCTTCTTCTTCTTCTTCTTCTTCTTCTTCTTCTTCTTCTTCTTCTTCTTCTTCTTCTTCTTCTTCTTCTTCTTCTTCTTCTTCTTCTTCTTCTTCCCTGGAACAGGTAGGTTAGACACCAAGTACACAAATAGCTACCACAGCAACGAATGCCCAACCCCTACATCCCTATCAAGTGAAGAAAGCTCAGAAGCACCTTTAACCCCGCCAGTCCTCCAAGTCCAGCAAAGTCCTCAGACTGAACACGTCACACTAAGGGCTCCCAAACAATGAAAAAGAGAACCCCCCCCCCCCCCCCCCCCCCACCACCACCACCACCACCACCATTATATCGATTGCAATGAAGAAAAAAGTGTCCCATGGTTTTGAACTCCCCACAATCGCAAAGTCCATCTGGATGTCTCCGCACCAGAAACAACACACTCAGTAAGTCACTATGACCCAGACTTAACCAAGTCAAGATCACTGAGTCCCTCCTCCTGCAAGCGACAGCCAACCAGCGACTACCCACAACTCGCCGCAGCCCATAAAAATCTCCTCCCGTCAGACCCTGCAGTCCAGGATGATTGCCACATCCTCATGATCAACTGACCGATTTCCGAGCTGAATTCCAGCCGGGCAAACGTCACCTCAACCCCACACCGGCCATCATCAGGGCATCTTTAACTACTACATCCGCCCCCTCATTATCCAACACTCCCACATGGGCGAGCACCCAAACAGAACAGACCTTGCAACCTATAACGCCCAGTTCGTGCAACAACAACCTGATTGGGACTAGTAGGTCAGGCCTACATTTAGAGCCCGTCCCTACACTAAGCTGCCAACTCAGCTGCCGAGTCCAAGCAAATGATGGAGCGCACTGGCAAATGATTCCTCACAAAATGCAAGGCACACAACACCGCCACCAGCTCAGCCGCGAACACTGAACACCTGTCTCTAATCCAGCATCCACAGGTAGAGCCCAAAAGAGGGATCTTTCTGTTCCTTCAGAGAGCAGTCCAATTGTCAATCTGCTCAGACAGAAAACCAAATTATGGTGGCTTGTCTACAGGTTGCACCACTCTCATTAGGGTAGACATTAAGGGATAAAACCAATCAAAAACTTAAAATAATCTACGATATTCAGTGCTCAGAATAAATGAGTACACCCCACAGTCAGAAAGCCTTTACTTTCCTTTCAAAGTCAATATTTTCCATGAGATACCACGCTAGGGCGACGGTGGCACAGGAGTTAAATGCTCGCCCGGTAATCTGAAGGTTGCAGGGTCCAAGCCCCGCTCAGTCTGTCGCAGTTGTCAAGTCCTTGGGCAAGGCACTTGCCTGCAGGTGGTGTTCGGAGGGACTGGTGGTGCTTGTGTTCGGCAGACTCGCCTCTGTTAGTGTAGCTGCCAGGGCAGCTGTGGCTACAATGTAGCTCATTACCTGTATTTTATTAGGTTTACTTGTTTTTATCTTTAGCAGTGTTTTATGATATGATGAATGTTTTTAGTACTTCTCTTCCTCTCCTATATGTAAGGCACTTTGGTCAGTTCTCGTGCTGATTGGAAACGCGTTTGATAAATAAAGTGGTATGGTATTGGACTAAATAGATAGCAAAATATTACATGCCACAATATCCTTTTTGACCCCGTCTGGCTAATCCTCAACAGTACGTTTTATTCTGGCACATCAAAACCATAAATGTCAGGTTTGCCTCAACAAAGGACCATGATGTTCTTCAGGGATTAAGACCAACTCTATTGTGTGTGTCAGCTTGAGAAAAATCTAAAACAAGTGAACCCTAATACAAAGGAACATTCAATATGTGTTTTCTTTCCCTTATAAAGCTGTGTCTTCTGTAGACTTTACACACACGCACACACACACGTGCGTGCACACACACAGAGTTTGTCAGAAGGAGAACTTTTCACGGGGATTAAAACAAGTTTTACTGTCGGAGTATGTAAGACTGGTTAGGTCCGTGTATTTACCTTACCTATTACATGCAAAAGATCCCGACATGGTCATGTCAGTACAATAAGGCTTTGGGTTTTTCACAATTAAAAAAAGAGAGTAGAACTTAACTTCCAGTAACAGATGATGTTTTTTCTGCGTACCTGTCGATGAATGAAAACCACAGAGCCCAGAAGCCTCCATGTTCCTCCCTGTCGGTCTACATGCAGCATTCGCAGGATCTGGAGAAAACGGATGCCCCTGCAACACATGAAGCCATCTCATTTGTTATTTTTATTCAGCAACCAAATCAAATCAAATCAAACCAAAGATACTTTATTAATCCCAGAGGGAAATCAGAATTTCAGTACACACAATTCAGAGATCAGACATACATGGGCAAGACACATGACAAGAATTGGTGACTGTGGACATTCGCAACCCTGAGTCGCGCTACCTTAATAGAGATAAGAGGGGTTTACATGAGGGTTGGTTCAGGTGGAGGGAAAAAACAAAAGGCACTTCACAGCTACCCTCCCACCAGGAGGGCAGCTTTGCTCTGCAAAATTACACCTCAAACATATATGCAACAGACTTCAGACATTACACAAACATGAGACTCCAATAGGAAGGGGGGGGTGGGGGGGTGGGAGTGGGTGGGGGGGGGGGTGGGGGGGGGGGGGGGCTGGGATCCTTTTTCCCCCAGCGAGAGCAGCCATCGACGGAGCTCATCTACTGTACAGTCACAGGTGGGAGGGAGATCTTGGGAGAAGCAAAGAGTACATTGACTCCCACAGATTAATGACCTCGCCAGGCTGAAGTCCCCAATCCAAAGGCGGGGGTAGGTCAGGATTTCACAGCATCTGCATTCCTTCATGGGGGTTTTATTTGCCTGCCGCTCAAGGCTACCAGGGCGTCAGATTCAGATAGCAAGAATTTGTTTGGATCAGGCTGAGATAATTTTACTCTCTGCCTTCAGACTTTAAACTGATCATTCCAGTCCTTCAGTGAAGCCAATTTGGGTTTTTAAACTTGTCCATACCATCTGGTGACCCTCTCCGAGATGACATCCATTTTGCGCACTAATACCGGTATCGCAGCTAGAACATTGTCCAGCTTACAATTCACCTCGAGTAACGTCCCAGTCTGAGAAGTCTCCACACGGACGGTGCTTTCCGTGGGTGCGGGTCGCCCTCCAATCGCTCCCGTCTTCCCAAATTTCCAGAAAACCAGATATCCTCCCACTCCAATCAGGAGAAATCCAGTGATCATCAGGCCGAATATCCACACGTCTTCGATGTCCTCAATGGACAGCTGGGAGAGGCATATGATCATCCACTCCTTCCAGGAATCCAAAATATATCCCACCGGGTGTGTCCCCTGTGGACATGTGGGAGCCCCCTGCTCCGTTCTCACTGTTGAAAAAATCTTATTGATCGCATTGAATGACCAATTTATCAAATCCATGGTTAGTAAAAATAGAGTTTTTCAGAAGAAATGCAGAGAAGCGCTCTGTGGGCTGACAGGACAAAGAGCCTTGGGAAAAAAAGATAAGGGAGCGAAAGAGAGAAGCGTCTGTACTCCTCTAGTGCCTGAAGAATCGTCTTGATTCATTGCTGAACCCTTTACCTGATGGCAGACGTGGCAAACACCTGGCCATTTGACCCGACGCCGAGCACAATGATAGAGGCAATGACAACTATCAAATCTATGAAAAAACAAACAAACACTAGAATCAGCTAAGTTTTAAATATATAAAATGTTAAAAGATATTGATGTTATTCTAGAACACTTTACAATTCAACATCCGATGTACAAATGGGAGTAAAGGAAAATGCCAGGTGCACCTATGATTGATATGGGCTTCCTGATAAAGCGAAGTCGTCCTTTGATGCCTGCATATTTGCTGCGGCAGCCTGCCGACCACAGCCGGACCACATACTCTGTGCCAAAGAACAGAACCAGCACAATCTCCTGTGGAGGACAAACAGAAAGACAACAGTTACATAGCAAAGCACTCAAATCTACAGGGCCAGAGAATGTGATTGCAGATAAGATGCCATTTGTAAAGGCACTGATAGAGCATTAGCACTAATTTAAGGCCGTTAAAATCAATCACCAAGATTTACAACCAGATACAAGAGAGCAGTGACAGGTGTGTGAGCTGGGAAAAATTAAACATTGAGGTAGTGTAGATCTACCAAGACCACCCAGCTACTTATGGGGAAAGATGGAGGCTGATAAGACGACGCCTCATATTGAAACCAAGTCAATGGCCAAGTGATTGCAGTGTCAGAAAGAAATAACATTACGCTCTTCTAACACATGATGTCCTGATTGGTTAGGGTTGGGTTAGGGTTGGTGCATTTTAATTTCATTTCCCTTTGTGCCATTAAGCACCTTTTTTAGAATAATTAGATGAACATCGCTGGTCATCGTTTATCCAAAAATATTTGCCCACCGTACTGCCTGCTGGAAGCTTTAGCCACGTGGGTGGCCTTTTTATGGACTTCAGTTGTCTGCTGGCTGCTCCCTGTATGAAACCTAACACCATGAGCCCCGCTGCAATAACACAGAGCTAAATAACGATGACCTGTCAATCACAACAGACAACTTCCTTCTGAAATAAGGTGTTTATCTATTTCTGGTAGCTTTAGACTTCAGATTAGACTTTAGATTAAATTACTAATCATCCTTAACTATCACCTACTAAAAGTGGAACAGTAGGTGATGGTAGTGGTGTGTGTGTGTGTGTGTGTGTGTGTGTATGTGTGTGTGTGTGTGTGTGTGTGTGTGTGTGTGTGTGTGTGTGTGTGTGTGTGTGTGTGTGTGTGTGTGTGTGGTTTGAAAATCCTATCTGCGCCCCTGCCTAGTGGTAGAGTGTCCGCCCTGAGACTGGGAGATCAGGGTTTGATTCCTGGTCGGGTCAGGCCAAATACTTTGAAAAATGGGACCTAATGCCTCCCTGCTTGGCACTCAGTATTAAGGGTTGGATTGGGGGGTTAAACCACCAAATGGTCCCCGAGCGCAGCTGTGTCTGCAGCTGCAGCTCACTGCTCTCCCAAGGGATGGGTCAAATGCAGAGAACAAATTTTGCACACACATCAGTGTGTGTGACAACTAAGGGGACTTTAACTTTAACTTTAATGTTGACAACGCCACTGGGAACTAGAACATAATCCAGATCTCCAACATCTGTTGTGTCCAATCCTGGTCCTCAAGGGCCACCATCTAGCATATTTCCTGTGCTTCAACACACCTGATTTAATCAGTGGGGAATTCTGAAAGGCAGGTCATTCAAGCCTAAATCAGGTGGGGTGGAACAGGAAAACAACTAAAACATGCTAGGCAGCGGTCCTCAAAGGCCTATAAAGTTCCCCCTCATAAAGATTTACAAACTATCTCCAAAAGGCAAACTCACAGTTTCCTTATGAACCATTCATAGACATAGTATTGAGCTACATGACAGCTGGATGGATTCTGAAAGTCAAAGGTACACATGGGTTTCTGAAATTTGAAGAGATTAATCATCATAATACCATGAAATAGGTCACCCAGATATTGGGGGTGGTTTGTGAGTGTTTTGAAACTGGCAGCTATGTGTTTACTGGAAACAGCTGTCTGCTGGTGCAGCGATAATCTCATCAAAGCCAGACGAGGATGAATCAAAGAGCATCATATGAAAATGTGATTGGATTGCTTGGTGTCCTGTGTCAAAGAAGGTGTACACATGTAGAAACACACACACACTCGCGCACGCACACGCACACACACACACACACACACACACACACACACACACACACACACACACAACACAAAGTGCTACCTGAGCTTTGTTGTGTGGACTATAAAAAAACCAACCTAATAGTCTTTTTTACTATTTACTGTATTTAGGAAAGTTATGCTGATTCAATCTTAAGTCAATCTCTTCTCATTCACAACTTTGTATGTTTTAATAAAGCAAAGCAAAATTATTATACCAAAGACTTTGGCAAAATTTTCTTTATAACACATTTGTGTTGGTTGTTAAATCGATTTTAAATGAGATTTCATTTTGATTTAAAGTCTGTTTGGCTACTTTGTCAACGTCTTCTTTTATTTCAGAAATACAGAAAAAATTTAAACAGTTATTCAAGGAAGGGGAAAATATTAATGTAATTAAGAGCTTTTTTCTAATGAATGACTGTTGATTTATTGTAGATTGGGTTCAACATAATCTAAAAACATTGACATAAGGGCTGTTCAACTAAGAGAAAACAACTTGTGATCAGATTTGTTTTGAAGAAAATGGAATCATGATTAAAAACACATCACACGCTGACTGCTGAGAGAGAGAATTGTATTGAATAAAGCAGTTATATACGACCAAAATGATTTTATCATATGAAAAGCAATATAGTCAGCCATCAAATGCATAGAAATGTTTAGGAAAATAAATACTTTTATAACATTCAGACATATTAAAGAGACAAGTGCAGTTTTTACCAATAATCTCTGGAAATATCCATCTAAATATTGTTGAAAATTAATTAAATGATGCCCAGTTAGCAGCTTCGTAACATAACCATAAAAAGCACATAGGAGTGTCACGAACTCCTCCAGCTGACTGCATTCCATTCATTCCTGCCACTAACGTGGCGACTGACGTCATCACGCCGACACTACTTAAGGAAGTGCCGGCGTTTCATTCATTGCTCAGTCATCGTTCTCACCAGACTTTGCATCGAGTCTCCAGGCTTACCAGCCCTCTAAACCCTCAAGCTACACCTACAGGAAATAACCACGCCGGTTATCTCCGTCTCTCCGCGTCTGGGCAACAGAACTCTCAGTCACGCTTCAGATCTGCCAACGAACCTGACAAGGAGTGGGTCTAAGGCCCAATCCCAATACTCACACTGCGGTGTCCTGAAGTCTTCAGCAAAGTGCACTTGGAGCGGTAACAAATGGTTACAAAACCGTCACCATTCATAAACGTTGTTGTTTTACACATGTACCTCTTCACTCGTTGCCACTGATGAATCCGGGAATCCGATGTGCTTTTCATTTAGCTGGAGGTTGTGCTCTCTGGGATTTTTGATCCTAATGAGGATCCGTTGGTAAGGTCTTCCTCAAACACAAATAAACTGGTTGCTTGCAATGGTTTAGGTATGTACTGCCCCACCGCAAGGCAAAATCCACACAGTCACTTTAAAACACACAGACAATAAACCTCTACTTGAGTGATCAACCAAATAAAAATAAAACAGACACAGCAAAAAGCTGCAATGGTAGCTGAACTGACCTAGCATAAAGAAACATAAAAAAATGCTACATATATATATATATATATGTACATATATATATATATATTTTTTTTTTTTCATATATATATATGTATATATACATATATATATATGTGTGTGTGTGTGTGTGTGCTCTACACAACACAGCTTGTGGAGGTGGTATTTAATACATAAATAAAATGTTGATTTATAGAATAAGTACTTTATCCTCATTTTAGCATCTTTCCTGCTTGCAATAACTTTTCAATACATCCCCAGAAGTCTCACACAATTTGGACTCATGGAAGGGGACCAAATGATAAAATGGTAGTGGTCAATGGTCTGTAGTACTTTTTAGAGTCCTGGAGTCCCCCAAGGCACTTTGCGACACAACAGTCATTCACACACACATTCACACACTGATGGTGGTTAGCTACATTGTAGCCATAGCTGTCCTGCGGCACACTGAGGTTTACTTTAGCTTTATTTAATTACAAGTCTAAGAGATTTTTTTTATACCTAGCACCTCATCACTTTTTATTGTGGTTTATCTTCTCTAGATTTAGTACAGCTGTTTATTGTCTGCTGCTGTGACAAAACAGTTCAGCTCAGTATAAAAAAGGATTAGTTTATGGTTGTGTTTAGGCCTTGTGCTGATGGATTATTCACACTCGACACCTCAAAAGCCCAAGAGTCAAATGACTAAAAGAAAGAATCTGATGACATGGGCATTCACAAAATTTAAAGTAACAAAACAAGATTCAGTGTGTGTGCGCGCGTGCGTGCATGTGTGTTTATTTGTACACACACACCTCTCCCCAGCCTACCTTTCCTCTGGCAGCGACCCTGCAGGCTAAATATCCTCAAGGACTAACGTCACCTCTGCCATGTAAAACAAGCAGCTTGTGATTCACTGATGCTGAATGAGTTTGAATCTTCTAAGAATAGTTATTATCATCAGTGAGTGCCACCATGACATAATCAGCAGAGTTCCACCCCCTACCAACACCTTCACATACACTGGTGTGTGCAAACACACACAAAAATTAAATACTTAATTAGACACATTTTTAAACACTTTGAAATGACTTAATTTTTAATTATTGCCCTGATTATTAATTATCTTATAACTCAACACAGAAAAGTGAGAGAAAAGGAGGAGAATTTTAGGAAATAATAAAGAAAACTCAGTGTGATAGGGTCAAACGTGTACAGAACAAAGTGTCCGTGTGTGTGTGTGTCCGTGTGTGTGTGTGTGTGTGTGTGTGTGTGTGTGTGTGTGTGTGTGTGTGTGTGTGTGTGTGTGTGTGTGCGTGTGTGTGTGTGTGTGCGTGTGTGTGTGTGGCAGTAAAAAAGTAATTAATGTTTTTGAGTCCTGTAATCATGGCTGAGCTGTAAGATGGCCGTCTGTTAAAATTTCCCCAAACAAAGATCTTACATCTCCATCCTGTGGACAAAACCGGGTAGTGCTACTTCCTGAAAAGTTTTCACAGATTTTTTTTTTTTTTTTTTTTTCAAAATTAAACTTCTTCAGAAGTTAAACCTTAAAGTTCATGGTTATAAAAACTCATTTTCATGTTGCTTTTCTGAACCAAAATTTAGTGAAAGTGTGTTAAATCAGAATGAGTAAGAAATAATAATCCCAACAGAAATTCTCGACATTTTCTGGTCTTTTTAATATTTGAGTCCAAATGGGTTATTTTCCCCGCTAGCTTTTTGTGGACCTCTACGGACTGTCACAGGTGAATCCTCCCCATTTCTGATCAACTGACACTCTACCTGCTGACGGTTTTAGGTTTCATAAAAAAAAAAAAAACACTTTATGTCTATCAGCACATAGAAAATGTGTATTTGGACTTTGTATGGCAGCAGTAGACTAGGGCTGCAGCTCCTGCTTGTATTTTCTCTGGTGTCAACAACAAACACATTTATGAGGTCATTCGGTGAGATGAATGACTAAAATGCTTGTGTTATTGTGTGCCTGTGAGTTTGTGTTATAACTGGTTATAGAAAGCAGTGACTGAGACAGTGCTGAACATTTTGTTTCAAGTTTCCAACAACACAACTCACCATCCAGAAGAGAGTTCCTGTTGCAAAATCTGCATATTGTTCTATTGTGGACAGGACGCTGAAGATAAGACACACCAGGACCATGATGAAGCTGCAGAGAGGAAAATAAGGATTCAGTCTTCACCCCTCACTACATCACACTATGAACACCGATGGATGTACAAACTGTTTCAAATAAATGATCTTTGATTACATCAGATATTTGCTCTTACTGGGATTAATCCATTTATTAGTTCACAAAACAGAAACAACATAAAATGGCAAAGGTGCTGCATAATTTGTTGCACTCTGTCTCCATTTTCCCCATCTTCATCAGTCTTCTTGTATTACCAGCTGACAGGATGTTTCCACATCTCCTAGCAACAGTGAAACAATCTGGTGAGACAGTCCATCTGTCACTGTACATATATTGTCTACGAATACAGCCCCTCTGAGCAAAACATACAGCAGCAGGAATCCTAAATGGGCTCACATAGAAGAAGAGCATAATGTAGAGATGAGAACAGGAAGATGGGCCCAGCATGGAGGTGAAGACACAAAGAGGTTAAGCTTTTGATTCAACTGGTAATTCAATCACCTTTATCTGCAAAACAAGTAAATACAACTAAATACTCTAAATAATTGTTTTTAGTTTGAACTATTTCAATAAAATTATTGCATGAATAATTGACATTAGGAAATATATAAAACTGCAGCAAATTCAGAAAAGAGGAGGAACCCATCAAATATGGAAAACTAGAAATTATATTGCCTTTTTATTATAAGGATCAATGTTATTTCATAATCATGTGGCTCATTCATAAAGTCATGTAATCTGTGTGTGTTTTCTGTAAACACATATGTGTGCTGTTTTAGAGGGATGACAGTGCAATTAACTATATGTAGCAATCTCCAACTCCATTGGAGGGATGATAGATCAGCAGCTAGCAGTGAATGTGAAAACGCATTTTACTTAAGAAAATAGCTCAGAGTTTAAATTTTCCATTGCTGGTTATTTCTTTTTATCTTACTAGTGATGTTTAAAAATCTGGTTTATTCTCTGTGAAATATTATATTATTTGTTAAATACATGCAGGCAGGTAGGCACAACAATTATCAGCTTTGGTCAACCTTGGTGAATAATGAAAGAGTGAGCCTGCAGTACCAGGACATTCTGATGTAAAATGGGCCCGGGAATACCTTTGTGTGGTACCATCAAGTCTGCCAGGCTTTTGGCAGCAGGACTGAGCTTGGACTAAAGGGGCAAACATTCACGAAAAGGTGACAGAGCTAACACATTCAAGAGGGAAAAACAGGCATCCTTCTCTGCACCAACACACTCCATTTCATCCTGTGGTATCCCACTGGGATCTCTGTTCATAGAAAAGGATGTAATCCCTCCAGTGAGTTCTGGATCAGCCCTGGGGTCCTTTTTCAGTGGGATGACCCCCCAAAAAACTTCCAAAGAAGACATCCTACTTGGATGCTAAAACATCCTTGGCAAACTCAAAGCAAAGGAGCAACTTCATCTCATCTAAAAGAACTACAGTTCTACCCTTCAGACAACTGCCACCCTAATGGTAGGAGTCCAAGATGGTGCCAGTGTTGCCAGCTTGCCGTCTGTCAGCTCCTCTACTTTTTGTATTTTTATTGTTTTTAGCCTATGTGTTACAACCCACTCACCCGAGAATGGTGTATGATCGTCATACGCTATTTAAAATAGGTTTTTCGGTTGGATTTTTACCGTATGAAGCTGTTGAGCACCAGAATACTTCCTCTCCCCTCTACCTGGATGGCCTTTCGGCGTGCTGGGAAACACCGCCGTTTACACACTCTGCTATGAGGAAACGTAGGAGGAGAGGCTGTCGGGGTGGACGGCTCGTCAAGCTGAAAGCATTGAAGCTTGCCTTTTCTGGCGGTTTGTTAGTTATCTTGTGTTCGCCCACTCGGTTCCTGGCACCGTGGCGTGTGGTGGATCCGGTGGATTCGTGGCTCGTTCCTGTTGCCGGTAATTCATGGGAGTTTGGTAAGCGCACCCCACCCTTTCGGAGATTCAGTTGGAGATGAGCCGATCTGAGGAATCTCCGATCATTGACTAGAGCTTTTTCCACCATCAGCAGCTCTGAAGTATCCTTAAGGTGGGGGCTGGTCAATGCTAGGTCTGTGGCTAACAAAACAGTCATTGTGAATGAAGTTTTTACAAAGCATTTTGTCGACATCCTCTGTGTGACGGAGTCATGGATTCTTCCTGGTGAGTCCGCTGTTTTTAATGAACTGATCCCAGCTGACTGTGCTTTTATTAATGTGCCGAGGACCACTAAACGTGGCGGTGGATTGGTGGTTGTTTATAAAGCTAATCTAAAGATGAAACACTTGCAGTCCTGGTCTCCTAATACCAGTTTTGAACTGTGCTTATTCGAACTTGGTCATCCGCAACAATCCTCTGTGCTGTAGTATATAGACCCCCGAAATACAATAAGGATTTTTTGCCGGAGGTTTCAGAAGTCCTAGCAAACTGGGCTGCTAGATACGAGCGGATATTGCTACTGGGAGACTTTACTATTCATATCTGCTGTCCTGGAAAACCTTTAGTCTCTGATTTCATCAACCTTGAGAACTCTTTGACTTTTATGCAGTGGGTTAATGGGGCCACACAGGAATGTGGCCACACACTGGATCTTGTGTTATCACTGGGGTGTTCAGTAGATAATCTGACTATTAAGGATGCAGTTTTTTCAGACCATAATCCGATATCATTTGAGACTACTCTGCATAGCAATTTGCTGGCACCTGTTGCCTCCAGTAGGTATAGTCGTCATGTGAACTCTGACACTGCAACTCATTTCACTTTGCTGTTTGAACAAGCCTTCTTTGATTTATCAAACAAGTCCTCACTGGATGGATTGCTTACTTGTTTTAATGAGACCTGTGAGGCTATCCTTAACACTGTTACGCGTTAAGGCCCAGGAGGGGAAAGCGTACGGTAAATGTATGGTCAACGGACGCTACTCGTGCCGCAAGTAGGGCATGTAGAAGATACGAGAGACAGTGGAAGAAGGATAATCTGCATGTTTCCCTAATTGCTCTACGTGACAGCTGGAAATCATACCAAGAGGCAGTTAGATCTGCGAAATTTACATATTATTCCAATCTCATTTCTTTAAACTCAAATAACCCCAGAGTACTTTATACAGCTATTGACTCAGTTCTGAAGCTAAATGATCATCATGTGGTGCAGGCTTCAGCTAAAATGTGTGATGAGTTCCGTGACTTTTTTATTGGGAAAGTTGCTGCACTCCGGGCTACCATGTCTAGGACACCGGTATGTAGCCGTTTTGTTACTGCCATCAGAGGTTTGGTAGCATTTCAACAAATTAGTCCAGATGATTTGATCAAGATCGCTGGGAAGGCTAAGCCGAGTGGCTCGCTGGATGAAGTGATGCCATCGCGCCTCTTTAAAGAAGCCTTTCCAGTAGTCGCCCCTTTAATATTGCACATAATTAACATGAGTCTCAGTTCTGGTATAGTCCCTGGCGATTTCAAAAAGGCGGTTATTCAACCTTTGCTCAAAAAGCCTGGACTGGGTGCTTTGCTGGCTGCAAACTACAGGCCCATTTCGAAACTTCCATTCATAAGTAAGGTACTAGAGAAATGTGTTTACCACCAGCTCTTGGTTTTTATGGATGAGAATACCATTTTTGAGACTTTCCAGTCTGGCTTCAGAGCTCTACACAGCACGGAGACTGCACTGGTTAGAGTGCTCAATGACATTTATCTAGCGACTGATAGCGGTAATTCTGTGTTGTCACTTCTGCTGGACCTCACGGCTGCCATTGACACGATAGATCATGAAGTGCTGCTTCACCGTCTACGTCATTATGTTGGGATTTCAGGGTTAGCCCTGGAATGGTTTAGATCATACCTGACAAATAGAAAAATGTGTGTTAGGATGGGAAGTTATTCCTCAGAGTACTCTGATCTACCCTGGGGGGTACCACAGGGCTCGATATTGGGACCTTTGTTGTTTTCTGTTTACATTTTGCCCTTAGGTGACATCTGTCGTGAGCTTGGAGTTCAATTCCATCTATATGCTGACGATTGTCAGCTGTACCTGCCTCTGAACATGTCAAGTGGTCTCTCTATTTCTATTCTTACTAATTGTTTGACGGAGATCAAGACCTGGATGAGTAAACATTTTCTGAGCCTAAATGATCACAAAACAGAGGCTATATTGTTTGCTCCAAGCATACATTGTGACTCTTCCCTAACTGACTGTGGGTCACTTAATGGCCAGCTGACTACATCAGTGACTAATCTTGGTGTTAAACTGGATAGCGCCCTTAGTTTTGATACCCACATCTAGGGCTGCACAATATATCGAAAAATTATCGTCATCGCGATAACAGGACGTGCGATAGGCCCATCGCAATGCACGTCAAAAACGGCAATAAATATTTGGTTCAAACATTTCCATCCGTGTCATACAACAACTTTTTGTAAACCAGCTCTGTTTTTTACGCGGAAGTATTATTTGACCAATCAAATGTAGCCCTTCTGATATGCTGCCAATCAGATGGGTCCGTTCACGTAATACGCCCGCCCCCTACGTAGACCCTTAGGATGGGTGGAACGCAACACCCGAAATGAGTTAGCGGCGCCGTTCCCTTGTTCGTCATGCTGGATCAGATTAACGAACACACTTTGTGCTGAGGTTTCTGGAATCAGCGCTGCTTTCAAACGTGAACGTGAGTCCGCTCGGTGTCGTTAAGCAGCTGAAAATAACCGGGCTGACTCAGACACATGCCGGTGAACCAACCCACCTTCATGTCGCTAGTGTTCCACCGGGTGGTGATGTTAGCCCCAGGCTCCAGTTAGCTTCCAGCTAAAAGGCTACAGCACTCTCCTCCCAGTCCCATCCTGCTAAAGAGGGCCTGGAAAAGTTCCCCCACACATCAAAGTGATTTTTCATTTATGAGCTTTTGTTAATCAGGATAGTTGATTTGCTGCTGCACATAAACTGTCAGTCAGAAGCTCTGCTAGCCGGTTGTCTTAGAGGAGCTAGTTCAATTTGTTAGCTTGCTATCAGAATCATAGTTGTAGTTTCATCATCTG